TTTGTACAGCCGTGGGCCTCAAACGCCTCACTTTTCCCTGTGATTTCTGTTAGAGTGCACACTAACTGCACCGCAGTGGCAAAAGCAGGGACTACGTTAGATACTGAGTACTGGGGAAGAAAATATTCTTTCATTCTCACATACAAAAACCTAAAAGCATATCATTAGGATTCGTTTGTATTAAAATTTGATGTCAATTAAAACAGGCAGAGTTAATTGAGGCTAAAACAAACAGGGTGCCTGCAAACGTTGTGCTTCTCAAGACTTATTTTTTAGTTCTCGATAGCTGCACAGACTTAAAACCATGATTACAGTTATAAGTCTCTACTACTGAGCGAATAAGACAATAGATGAATAAATTCATGTCACAGAAGTCAAATAGCAGCAATCAAGCTACAAAATGGCATTGTGCAACTGACAGGCAACACTGCCCTCAATGTGTTAACATTTGAATTAATAACAGCATGGCATATCAATAAGTTATTATTAGATGACATTTTGTGTGATGCCAGTGCCACTGTGTATTGACAGTGTGTCAGAATTGCTCAAATTCTATAGATTTATAAGAACAAAAAGAAGAAAATCTTTTTTTGCCAAATTAAAAGCACATCAGCCACAGCTAATCTGATTCCCCTGCTGGCACAATGGTGTTAAAAGAGACTTGAAAGACCCAATGCTTTAACCTTTAGAATCACACACTTGAACCACCATCCCTTTCCCCTTTAATTAGGCCCACAGTTTGTTCACCGATCCAAAGGGCAGAAACAGCGGGGAAAGGGAAACGGGGCAGGAATCCGCTCACTTCCTACAGCGTATTAGCAGGATGGGGAACATGCAAGCTCGCTTGCAAAGAAACATTAATGTTAAAAACTTACCACACTGACCACTTCCTGAAACTAAAAGAGAGTGCCTGTCACAAGAGCTACAATGTCAAGAAAACTATTCAGTTAAAACAAGACTGAGACTGACTGACTTTGGCTTTGTCATCGTTACAGAACTTTTGAAGATTTCTCTCTCTTACCATGTGGTTTTCCCAGAAGAAGCTCTGGAGCCAAATAGTCAGGGGTTCCTAAAATTGGTACTCTCTCAAGAGGCAGTGCTCCCCTTCGGACACTCTTTGGAGTCCTGTAAGGGGTATGAGAGGTCGACATGGGCTGAGGAGTCTGAGGAAACAAAAGCATTAATTTCATTAATATGTACATAATCCTATAGAACTGCCTTTTATTGAATCATAAATGTAACCTGTGACTGCCAAACTTTATTAAAGTGGTTGTCATTGTCAGTTATGTAGAAGATCTTCGAACTTCAGTTAAAGAGGGGCAACCAATTAGAAGAAAGTCAACTTAAAGTCAGAGGACAGGAAGTTGATAAGATAAAAAAGCAATTGATTTAAATTGTGAGACAAGCAAAATTACTCTAGTTGAGCACAAAAATAAAAGTACTGTCTTAACAATGAGAGCGTCAGGTTGCGTTTCTGGGGCTATGCAGACTGCTGTATTCCTCGTCCTTCCGTGCCTACCTGATAGAGAGAACCACTGGAGCTGGGTCTCTTCTGCACTGGTGTTGCAGCTCCAGATGCGACGTTATAAGAAGCCGTTGTGGACACGTCCATAGCTTCCACAGATCCAATGCTAAGTCGGGACACCCCGGACACGTTGGACCGATTAATGGAGCTACAATAACTACGGAAGGCCACGACATTTCGCGGCTTGAGGAATAAAGGGGACTCCGCATCACTGCAAGCGAGCTCGGGAAGTCGGTTCGCAAAGAAACAGCGAGATTCATCTCTCTCCAGAAAATGACCAAGTTTAGGTGTTTCAACAGTGGCCACAGGAGTTTTTGGTAGTGATGCAGTATAGAAGGAGTCTTTACTTTCTTTGTCCTCCTCTGGTGATAATGAATTCCTGTGTTTGACAGGCTCAGTTGGCTGGAGGGATGGATGGCTGTCTATAGTGAAAGACATTTCGTGCATAGACCCGTCAGAGTCCATGCTCAGGTTCCTACAAATGTCACTTGTCCCAGGAAGTGGTGACGTGAAACTCGTGTGTGACAGGTCTTTGGCTCCACCTTCAAATATATCCTCCACCGGCTCTTCCAGTTCATAAAACAGACTTTTGGCTACAGCAACGGGACTGGAGCGCTTCGGCACCCGCTCTTCAGTTGCCCCGATCCCCTCAGTGGAGACCATGAAGTCGCCTATTTTGATGGTGGAAAATGTTCCAGTCAAGCCAGTGTGAAACCTCTCAGTCTCCACAGGAATCTCATAGAACCTCTTGTAGTCTGTGTTTCTCTTTTTTGCTCGGATCTCTGGCGTCCCTGGACTTCTTTGTAAATCTGAAAATGTTCTCTTCACAGATGAGGGAACTGCTAATTGACAAACATTCTCCTGAGCTGTGGAGACAGACTCCTGGTTGTTCGTATGGCATTTATTTTCTACAAGATGAGCTTCATTTGACTTTTTTGATTGACTGCAAGAGGCCTTATCAGAAAAGCAAAAAGCGTCCCGTTTTGTGGGCGGACTGTCCTCTTTGGGCACCTTCAACTCAGATCGCCCTCTCCCGTTCTGGTCATTCATGTGTTCATTCTCTTTCTGAAGAAAAATAAAGTCACAATATGGAATGAAATGTGAGTGAGACACTTTATGAACAGGAAACTCCAAGCCAAAAAACTTTATTGGTCTTTAATTACACATGGATAAAAATAAGAATTAAGAAAATCCACTTACCTCCTCACACTCCCACAGTGGACTGGTGCCACCGTCAGTGTCAGTAGTGCTGCCTGCACTCATCGTCTGAAACCTGCTCCTGGTCTTCATCAATGTGGGAGTCAGATTTTTTGTCAAATTATGAGGACTAAACATGTTGCTCTTTGGTCCTATCAGATAAAATTTAGAAGAAAAAAACTGAATAAAGGCGAAATTAGCATACATTTTTATTGTCAGCATAACTCGTCTTTCCACGTGAACAAAGAATGACAAAATGCCAAGAGGATAGCTCTTGGCTGTCTACTACAGCCTGACAGCATCAGCTAATAATGACCTATCACTTAAAAATCTGCATCATATGCTTTCATGTTGTAACTTCATGGTATATTGATAACCATTTTGTTACAAACTTTAAAGCATGTATTTAACGGGAACCCTTAATATTTCCCCTTTTTAGTAAAATTTCTAACATAATGTAGGCAAAAAGAAAATAAATAAATCAACCCCCCAAAATAAAATGTCCTTGATGACATACTCAGTTTCCAAGGGTAGCGAGCAGGTGAAGACAGGCGATCTATTTTCTTCATTACAGGAGAATCAAGAGATTTATTCCTTGGTTTTATTTTGCCACACGACATGGGACTGGACACCACAGTAGCGCTGCAGTGACGCTTGCCTTCTGCTGCTGGTGTATTCTGTGTTTAACAGAATAAAGGAAAAAATAGGAATTATGTAACACACACACACACACAAAACAACACATCTGATTGTTTTCCAGCATGTGAAGTGATTTGAATTCACTTACAAATCCAAGGGAGCTGATTAAAGAGAGGACTTGGCCTGGCGTGCGGGAATAATCCTTCTTGGGTTTAGCCAAAGATGGGGTAGTGAGGATATCCATAAGACTCAGCTCTAATATAGAAAGCACAGAGGTAAAGGAACTATTAATAATATTTCTAAAGGTGATGGTTACAATGTGCAAAAGCTGCTGGGAAGTCAAACCTCTGTCCAGCTTGACTTTAGAAAGGCCAAAATCTGTTAGTTTGATGTGGCCTTCGTTGGATATGAGCATGTTGTCTGGCTTCAGATCTCTGGAAAAAAAATTGTTACAGTTCAAAAATGCATATTGACGTCGATCAAATTGAATGAAAGTGCAAGATTTGCATACACTGTAAAAGTACCTGTGAATTATACCATGACGATGGAGATAGTCTAAAGCCAGTGCGACCTCTGAGATGTATTTTACAGCCATATCCTGGTCAAAATAGCCATAGATATGAAGGAGAGATTTGACATCTCCACCAATGAGGTATTCCATTACCTGTAAGCATAAACAATGACTTAATAAACGGGGTCATTAACATGTTTAACACGAGTCTATTTTTTCATCTCTGGGCGTTACCAGATAGATCTTGGTGGCTGTTTGAAGGGAGTAAAACAGGTGAACCACGAAGGGACTTTTGCTCAAAGCGAGGGCATCTCGCTCTGCCTTCAGCTGGTTTGTCATGTTTTTATCCACCATATCGGCTTTCTTCATCACCTATGAGGCAGAAGAAATGTGCATTTAAGTAGGCTAGATCTCCCTTTAATGATTTAGAATAAGCACAGGTTAAAAACCCACTAACCTTAATGGCATATAAGCGTGCGTTGCAGTTCTTACGTGCAAGGTAGACCTTGCCAAAAGCCCCGCGGCTGATGGGCTTCAGCACGACGAAATCGTTGATAGACGGCGGTTTAGGGTGATGACCTACAGATTTCACGTCGGCGCACGAGCGATGCTCTTCCTCTGCGTCCATTATTTAACTGCTTTAAAATGAGGGTTACGTCTGTGTAAGCCAGCCAGCTCAAAGTAAACAACACGCACTTGCAAAAGAACGGATTCTCTGGTTTGTTTTGAAATTTTGAATTCCGCAGATCTTTCACGGGGACCCCACTTAGTTGTCCAAGAAAGCGCCTGCGTGAAAAAGAACAACCTGTACTTGAACAACCTGTGTAGTGTAATTAGACGCTAGTTAATTTTGGCCGTCTAATTACAATTAAAACAATTATTTACCAGAAATCCATTATTTTGGAAACTGTTTTTACATTTTGATCAGGCACTCACGAACAGACCAAAATGAGAAGAACGTGAAAATTAAATAGAAAAATTAATAATAACTGCTACGCTTTTTTTACTGTAAGGCACCTGATGCAAGTGAAGATTTATTTTGTCATTTCTATGCATTATAAATTAATTTTAATGAGTTCAATGAAACAATCGCAATGATGCAAGCATCACCCGGTAGTAGTTCTTCTTTACGTCATTTTGTAGTCCGCTTGACCTCAGATGCCGGGGGATCCATTTGGCGTTGTTAGCTGAAAAAAAAGTTGTGTAACTGTTGAAAGTTGTGTAACAAGGAAAACCAAAAGGACGCCCCTTTCGGGAGGACGCATTCATTTGGGTTATATAGAGGGTCTGTCCTTACAAACCAGCCCTCCAAAGTTCGTTTTTGTAGCATCCATCGGCAAAAATGTTTTCGCTGTCTTCGTCATTTCAACCACAGCAGGTAAGCCGACTAGATAGCGGTTTATTGACTTGGCTAGCTCATGTGTGTTCTTCTCGGAGTGAATTTAGTCTTTAGTTGTAAGTTAGTGTTTATTTTAGGACTGTTATGGGAGTTATATCGACATGTAGCTCTGCTGCCTGTTGCTTATTTGACCCCCTTTTCCCCTTTAGCTCGCCTAGTGTTAGCAAGAACATTACTCTAGAATAAGCCTATGCTTACGTCACGCTGTCACCCTGTGTCGGTGCGGAGACGAGCGTGATATGTGAGGTTTCGGTCGTGACTTTACCCAGAGATACGTGAAGGAAAATTTAGGTTAATTTAAACAAAGTATTTGAAAAAATCATTCAAAGAGTAGAGGTTACGTAACTCGTCTGCCGTATGTGGGCCAAACCACTCTATGTGCAGAATAACACTGACATAACAGTCCTGACTACGCTGGAAGTCTCATTTAAAAACAAAAAACAAGTAGAATGGGAAACGTTAAATGTACATGCAGAAAATGTGAGGTGCTATGAGAGTGTTTTAAGCTACTGCTGTTCTTGTGTCTTCCCAGATGATAGTGCCTCTCAGCCAGCTCATCAATGCCCTCCACTCTCTGAAGAATTCAGCCACAGCTTCAATCCAGGCTCTTCACAAAGACTTCAATCCAGAGCACAGTGCATTTCTGAGAGAGGTGAGATCCATCTCCTGAGGATAGTAGCTGATGGTGACATAGTACATGTTTTGTTACAGTGGACTATCTAAGGTAAACCACAGATCTGTTGATGGCGACTTTATGGAAGTATGTTTATGAGTATAAACTTTATTGAATCTTCACTACTCTTAATGGCCGCACACTATATTATACTGTACCATAGTAATGTGTCTAAGTAAAGGATATATGTCTTTGTTCACTGTTTTAACGATCATTGCCTTGTCCTTATGGATCAGGTTGCTCCTCAGAAAATAGGTCATAGCTTATTTTGCAACAAGCGACTAAGGAAGACCACGGGTCTGACTGTCCATAGAGAAAATTTTAAAGGATTTCTCCACTCTTCTAATGAGGAAGTGAAAGAGGCTAGATCTTCTTATTTCAGTAATTTCATGAATCATAATAGGAGTGATCCTCTACATCAACATGCTCTGATAAAGTGTCAAAGTAGTCTGCTTGTAAATCGATGTTTGAAAAGGGCAGTGGACTTTCCATGAAAAGTCTCCCTGTTTCTATGAAGACAATAACACTAAAAGTCTTGGTTACCAAAATTGGAAAAAGAAAACCCTCATCATCCTCGTTAGAGATTTTACCTGTTTGGGACTCTTCTCTGGCTCTGCATTAGACAGGTTTTCCTCATATTTATCTGACTGGGCTTTCTCTGTTAGGTTGAATATATTCTCCTTTAACACTGTTTCTCTAACCTGTGAGCTGCAAGGCTTAATCCTGGGTCCATTATTGCCTTTCGTTCTACATTCTTCCTTTAGCTGGCATTATTAGATTTGTTTTTTTCTGAAAACCTTCATCATTTTCATGCCAGTAAAATGCATATACAGCTGAATTTCAAGCCTTATCAGCTGGATAGATTGTCCAACCTAACTGAATGTTTATCCGGATAAGTTACTGGATCTCCAGTAATTACTTTGCTATGTATTCCAAAAACACAGAGGCTGTGATTATAGTTCATTGTGTTGCTTATCTGCTAAGTCCAGTCTTCATAATCTTGGTGTTATATTTGATTCCTCTCTGGGCTTTGACTCACATGCAACATCTACTTTGACGTACCTGTTTTGTTTTTTCAATTTAAGGAGTATTTCTAAATTGCAAGGTATAGTTTTCTCAGATGAACTTGAGAAAATGTTATGACTCCAGCTGATACAAAATGCTGATATATCCTAGTAAGCAAGCTTGTGTTACTCCTGTTTTATACTCCTTACATTTGTTCTCAGTTTATTTTAGAATAAAGAGCACTATCTAAACTTCTTCTTAAACACGCTCTTGCTCACAGTCTGAGATCCTAGGCTCAGAATTTGTTTGTTGTTCCTCAGGTGAGATTGAAGACTGGAGGCTATTGCATTTTTATTGTGACTATTTCTCATTTTTATTTATTTTTCTGTGTCATCTTTACTTATGTACTTACTTACTTTTAGGTGATCAGCAGGGCAATATGGCCAAAAGTATTTATCACGATATGATAATATAATATGTGAACAAAGGCACTGCGCACCTGCGTTTTACCCATATTCTATCACGATATTTCATTTTCTTATTGTTGCCTAACATTATACTGGTATTACCGTGAACAGTATGATATGGCCCAGCCCTACCTTAGAGTTGTAGATGACCTACCTTTGCTGTCCTTCACTTAAAGCCCAGTGTGAGTCTGAAGGATCTGGGTCTGTCCGAGCTCAGGGCGAGTCAGCTGGACGAGCTCGTCAGCAGGTTACTGCCTACACCGGGACCAGAAGAGCCTCCCGCTGTTCCTTCGATATGGAGAACGAGCCACGTTTCTGCAGACAGCTTCTTTCACAACAAGCACGGTGAGCAGCTCAGTCGAGCTTTATTTATTTAACCAGATGTTTTAATGTGAAACAGACCTTGAGATTTTTTTCTCTTTTTGTACGATTTGTCTCACAGGGTTCTCACACAGGAATTTGGGGCTTTTTGGCTCACGATTATTCCACAGACAATACCACAGCCCACTAAGACAAGCTTGCTCAGAACTACAGTTTTTGCCTGGTAAGAAGCTGACGTTATACAAACTTAGTGGCATTAAAGCCCCTTTCAGGCATGCACTCCTTTCCATTTATCTGAAGGCACCTGAGCTTTTTTGGCCTCATGCCTGAGTGAAAAGTCAAAACACAATCTTACAATTTATACAGGTCCAATATACATGTTCTGTATATGCTCTTCGTTACGTTGCTTAGCTCTGAAAAAGCAGTCTTGGTTTAGGCCTTCAATAGCAGTAAGACGGAAAAAGCAATTTGGGGCTATCAATGGCTCCACTGGATGGCTTTCACTGTCCTTAACACTCAGTTTCACTTTACAACAAACAGGTTCTGTTTGTTATGAGTTGGTCTTCACAGCAGGGCCTGAGCTAAAGCACAGCCACCAATGGGACCCCTATATAAACAGCAATACCGTGCTGCACACAAACTATGCTGTTTTGCAACGACACTGGCAATGATTACATTTTCAAAAGTGTAGTTACATGCGATTAGAGCACAGCTAGACTTACTTATGATAAACAGCTGTCATTTTAACAGACTGAAGAAGCCAGAAATGTTATATACCCCATGTCTGAAAAAGGTTAAAGATACTTGACATATAGTCACATGTTTTCTGTCTGTGTAGTATGGGTCCAAAGTCGCGGTTTCAAGACACTTCGACCAAGGACCAGACGGGCGGAGTCTGGTTATGACGGTCCCGTGGAATCTGAAGCCTACACTCCAGGCTTCATGAAGGTATGCCACCACACGACTGATGTATCTGTTGCACTGTTATGAATACAGACTGTTGGTTAATCCAACATAAATTCTGTATTTACTGAATAAGCATTATTTCTCGGACACTGCACAGTTAGTTATGCAGTTAGAATGAACAACATACCGTAGTTTTCGGGTCATAAGCCGCTACTTTTTCCCCACACTGTGAACACTGTGGCTTATACTGACGTGCGGCTAATGCATATTTTCTTTCATGCGGCCAAAAATATTTTGCCTGGTAACAGTAGACCAATAAAATTGATAAGTAGTATATATACGGTATTTATTTTTACCGGTTAAGAGACGTTGTAATGTTGTTTGTGCACTGTTCTGTAAAAAAACCATAAGCAACGTAATTTGTGTGTTACCGATACGTACGTATACTTAAAGGTAGCCGTGTTACAGGCGCTGTTCGAGGAAAAAAAGCATTTGCAGTATGTATTTTTGTACCATAACGTTTATGTTTCCATGTTTATGTTACCTTATGGATTAAATTAAACGTTAAAAATCCTCACGTGTAATATTTCTGTGTAAATATCTCATATTACAAGTGCAACGCATACGGCTTAAAATCCGGTGCGGCCTGTACAAGTACAAAATTGATTTTCTTTCTAAAATTAGAGCATGCGGCTTTTAATCAGGTGCACTCTGTAGTCCGGGATTTACGGCACTTTGACCCTTTAGCTCGTTCTACAACTTGACCAAGTCGTTGCAGATTTTAAGTTGCTATTTGAAGCACACATTTAAAAGAGGGGGGAAAGCAGATTTACATGTCTACTTTTTTCCCTCTCAGGGATTGCTCTTGAAAGAAAAAGGAGTCGAGGCGCATTCTTTGGACCAAGTGATACAACAAAAAAACCTTCCAGAAAACCAGCAGGAGGCTTTCAAGACGGGTTTCACTGAGGGGTTCATGAGGTCTCAAGCTTTGACTCAGAGAACACAAGGCATGTGGTCCAGACAAAGACACACTTACCTGTTTTTCATTATAACAGTTGGTGGCAGTGCTGAGCTGAGTACAAAGATGAAGATTGGTGATTTGTTTTTTTTGTCTGTTATGTTTTACAGACTCGCTGAGGAGAACCAGGTTGATCCTCTTGGTCCTCCTCCTCATTGGTATTTATGGCCTCTCAAGAACCCCGTTTCTCTCCGGTAAAGGCCCCTTTTCTGATGCTGGTTTGTTTCAGTCTTCATTCTTTAAGCTTTCAAATTAAATCGTAATCCTATATGCACACTGCCTGCTGATTTACACCTTCCAAGGGTGCAAAAGCATTAGAAAAGAAGTGTTTCACTTAATGTTCACCAGATTTTCAGCTTAAATATTCATATATATATTTATGTATTTATTACAATAATGTACTAGTGCGCATGTAGGGTTTGACAGATTATTTTGGTGCATGATACTGCGCTTTAACATGTAAATATCTATACAAACTATTTTTTATTTCATTACTGTGTTCGTGCTTTATGAATAACTGGTAGAAAATAAATGTGTGCTGCAGGAAACAGCTGTTACTGTCAGACATTGCAAATATGTATTTATTGAACTGATTATTTTGGGGATCTCGTAGTGAGGTTCCGCACCACATCCGGTCTTGACTCTGCAGTCGACCCCATCCAGATGAAGAATGTGACATTTGAGCATGTCAAAGGAGTGGAGGAGGCAAAGAGCGAACTGCAAGATGTTGTTGAGTTTCTGAAAAACCCACAGAAATTTACCGTTTTGGGTGGAAAGCTGCCAAAAGGTATCGATGCTGCTAATTCTTTTCATCACTTTTTACTGATCATTAAGAAAATGCAGTGAATTGAATAGGGTGGGTTTTTTTTGTTTTTTTGGGGTTTTTTTCTTATGCGTTTCTGTTTGGGTCTCCTCAGGGATCCTGCTTGTTGGTCCCCCAGGCACAGGAAAGACTCTGTTGGCACGAGCCGTGGCCGGAGAGGCCGATGTTCCTTTTTACTACGCCTCCGGATCGGAGTTTGATGAGATGTTTGTGGGCGTTGGTGCGAGCCGAATCAGGAACCTTTTCAGTAAGCTTACTGGATGTGAGAAATTTTAGTTACACTTAAAATTGTATTTTAAAAACGAATATAACCTCTATTTTTGTGTTTTGCAGAAGAGGCAAAAGCCAATGCTCCCTGTGTCATCTTCATTGATGAGCTGGACAGCGTAGGTGGAAAGAGAATAGAGTCCCCTATGCATCCTTACTCCAGACAAACCATCAACCAGCTGCTGGCTGAAATGGATGGGTCAGTGTTAGTTAAACTGAATAGAGTGATAAGTGGTGTAGATACCTTAAATTTACAGTTGCTAATGTTTTGTTTTGCTCTTTTACAGATTTAAACCAAATGAAGGAGTCATTGTTATTGGTGCTACAAACTTTGCTGAAGCGTTGGATAAGTATGTAAACATTTAGGATGAAATGCTTTTTATGTATGCCATAAACATGTTAAGTTTTTTGTAAAGTGACAGTAAAATGAAACCATTTTTTAGCATTTACTATCAGAGGTAGTTATTGTGCAGTTATGCAGCTTCTGATGAAACACATTCGTTTTACAGATATTAGTAAGACGTTTTGAGTGTCGTTTTGCGATAGTTTTAAGTAGTATTTGTTCTCCTAAATAAAACTTCAACAGAATAAACTTCTATGTACTAATTATTGCTGCTTTGCATCACTCTTTAGCGCTCTGGTTCGACCAGGAAGGTTTGACATGCAGGTGACGGTCCCTCGCCCTGATGTGAAAGGCCGCACAGAGATTCTCAACTGGTACCTCTCCAAGATCAAAGTAGACCCAGGTAGGTCTGGGTGTAAAGTATTCAACAATATTAAGGATATCTCTAACTACCTTTTTTTTTCTCCTATTATCCTTCTCTGCTGGAGCTAAGCCTGAGAAGAAACCTGTGTTTGCCATTTTTCTAAATGACGCCATTGTCTTTGATCACCTTTACAAACACTGTTTGTTCTTTCCCAGCCATTGATGCAGAGATTATTGCCCGAGGCACAGTGGGCTTCTCGGGGGCCGAGCTCGAGAACCTGGTCAACCAGGCAGCCCTGAAGGCAGCAGTGGACGGGAAAGAGATGGTCACAATGAAGGACCTGGAGTTCGCTAAGGACAAGATCCTCATGGGTAAATGAGTGATCACGGTGCAGCCCACAGCACTACATTTCACATTACACTGATCACCTGTACATTATTAAGTGAGGAGACAGGAACACCATCATGATTATTTCTTTATGTTTCCATTTCACATTTCAGGCCCTGAGAGGCGGAGTGTTGAAATTGACAAGAAGAATAAGACCATTACCGCATACCACGAGTCCGGCCATGCCATTGTTGCCTATTACACCAAAGATGCAATGCCCATCAATAAGGCTACTATCATGCCTCGAGGACCAACTCTGGGCCATGTGAGCTTTTGTTACAGTTTTGCAGTATTGTACGTATTTCTGCTGGGATTGTTTTTTTTGTTTTTTAATAAAGCATGCCGTGTTTTAGGTGTCGATGCTTCCAGAGAATGACCGCTGGAGCGAGACACGAGCCCAGCTGCTGGCTCAGATGGACGTCAGCATGGGCGGCCGAGTAGCAGAGGAGCTCATCTTTGGGAACGATAACATCACCACAGGTACGAGACACAGAGGGACTGATTGGTAGGACATGATTCATAAATATAAAATGCTTGAGCTATGAATAGTATTTTATGATTATAACATTTAAAGGTTTATCAGGTTAACACCTGATTTTTGGTCAGAGGGCCCGGTGGCGCCAGTCCTGCAGCCTCGCCTCTGTCAGTGCGCCCCAGGGTGGCTGTGGCTACAATGTAGCTTGCCATCGCCAGTGCGTGAATGTGTGTGTGAATGGGTGAATGACTGAATGTAGTGTAAAGCGCTTTGGGGTCCATGGGGATTAAGTAAAGCGCTATACAAATACAGGCCATTTACCATTTAACACCCTGGGATTTTTCTTTTTTCCAAGTATAAATACACTTATTTGTGTGCTTTTATCAACATAAGAAAATTAATTTGTGTGGTTTGAAGAAGTTCTTATAAATTACTAGTCTCTAGTCTTACGCTCTGATTGTTTGGAAGATGACAAAAAAACGTTGTTAACCATTTCAGGTGCCTCCAGCGACTTTGATGGTGCAACCAAAATCGCAAAATTGATGGTGACCAGATTCGGCATGAGTGACAAGGTGAGAATTTAGACTTGTGTGGCAGATGATCCCTGTGGGGTTTTTTTTTTTTTGTTTGTTTGTTTTGTTGTCTGTTTTTTGTTCCAATCAGCATTTAAGGACTTAGCAGTGCTGATCTGGGCTTTAACTGTACATACTGCTGCAGACGTACGTCTTTATTTACAGTAAGATACAAGTTATGAAGCCATACACAACAATTGTCCTCAGTCAATTTATGTCAGCCAAACTTTGTTATATTAAAAGCAAACACAGTAGCACATCTACAGCTACTGTATTGAATGAATTAATCTTGAAGTTAATACAAATCTGTAATAGAAGAAGAACAGGGGAGTGGACCTAAAAACTGCAGTCTCTAACATTACTGTGTCATTGGGTGTAATTACACACAGCTCAGTGAAAAGCCCTTTGTAACTCGCTTTCCAGTAATCACTAGCTACAAGTGGTCGATGCATGAGAAGACCCATTGTTCATTCATCTTGGTTATGTGTTTGTTACAGCTCGGTGTCATGACCTATGGAGACATTTCAAAGCAAAGCCCCGAAACACAAGCAGCCATTGAGCAGGAAGTCAGAGCTTTACTAAAGGTGAGCAAAATATGTGTCTTTTAAAAATAATAATTAGAATTTTTTTCTATTCTATTTCTCAAAATGTTTTTTCTCTCTCTTTTATTTAGGACTCATATGAACGGGCTAAGGATATCCTCAAGACTTACAGTAAGGAGCACAAGAAGCTGGCTGATGCCCTCCTAACATATGAAACTCTGGACGCCAAAGAGATCCAGATGGTGCTGGAGGGCAAATCACTGGACCACTATAGACCTCAGCAGCAGCAGCAGGCGTTGTAGACTCATACATATATATATGCACAACTGTGCAATCAAGCACAGGCCTTTGGGAGGCCTTGTTTTGTTTGTATCCCTTTTATTGTCAATGTGATGATGACACTGAAACAATCATCAACGCTTTGATACGTCTCATCATTTACTTTCCTTCAGTGATTTGTAAATCATCTCAGTTTAACTGTGTGAAAATAACTATTTGTTCTCCCCAAAAAGTCACAAAGATGGTTTCATTCAGGGCATTTTTTTCTTTCTCAGCTCTCACAGGGAGAGAAAAACAAAACCTCAGCAGCGGTTTATGCACCAAGGTCATATTTCGTCTCATATGAATTTGTTTGCCGTCAGATTTTTCTCCCATATTTGTACTAACCAGTGATCACAATGGGACCTTAAAGTACCTTAAGCTGGAAAGTACCTTTTGGCTATGACCAGGCACAGGTGCTACTGCTGTTCATTGTTGAACTCTTCAGGTTAGAGGTTTTCTTTCTTTTCTTTTCTTTTTTTTAATATGCTTGCATTTACCATATACATATCTATTTTCCTTTGTTCTTATTTATTGAAGTGCCCAAAGGTAAGACCAGCTGTAGCTGATAAATGAGAAGTTGTGTATATACTGTAAGCTTGTAAACGAAATGCATTGGTGCTTCTGTTTGTGTCTTTAGATTAAAGCCTTCATAAAGCTCAAATAAAGATTCCTCTTACAAATCAGCCCTGATTCTTCTTTTGGGGTTTGTTTGTTTGTTTTGTGGTTCTTAAAACAAGTTGTAGCATTAACACATCATCACCTTATAAAACTGATAAAAAGGCCTTAATTATTAATATATACAACAAATAATATCTAATATATGTCTCTACATTGCTTAGAATTCAATATAATTCAGGTAGCAGAGTTTATTGAAGCCTTTTCCACTGTTATCTGTCATAGCTGAAAACAGGAGTGGAAATTTACCTCAATCAAAATATTCGTAAGAGCTAGAATACTAAACCAATCAGGTGAAAGACTGTAAAGTACTCCAAAGAACTGATGGGAATTTCAGGTCAATATTAGTGATGGTTTATAGATTTTAAATAGTGCTTTAAACCATTAAGTATGTGTGATATCACAGTGAAATTGACAAATGTTTACAGCACCTTGTTGAATCTAGACTAAAGTGGCTGATGAGTGTATTTTCTAATGTTACACAGTGTCAAAGAACATCATGCTTTTGGAAATGCAGACAAAATGACAAATCAGATTATTTAATCTACTGAGTGGCACATTTCTAACATTGCATCTTCTGTTGGCCAGTTAACAGGAGCAAAGGCTTAATTATGGCTGCGGTTAAATTACCTTCAACCTGCCATTAGTGTCTTAAGTTCCAGGTGACTCTGGGGGAGAGGCTAAGAGACTAAGACACTGTCCTATTGTTTCATCTATTTAAAAAGGCTGGTGCAACACTACTAGTTCTGACCAAAAGCAGCAACCAGTGCGAAACATTTACTATGAAGAAACTTGAAATTTCATTTTGTGTTTTCAAAAAAGCTCTCAGAGCAAGCTTATGATTGTCCCAAAGGAACAATGGAGGACGCTGATGATGACATAGCTGTTATTGGGATTGGATGCAATTTTCCCGGAGGTACGACTTCATTTTGACACCATTTAAAGCAATACTGAATATCTGCATTTTTTTTCTCCAAAGGTCGAAATTCTAAGATAATGTATACTCAGGTTGTTGTGATACTTTATATTTTAGGTGAGGGGGTGGACAGTTTCTGGAGGGTTCTGTTGGAGGGAAAGAGCTGTGTGGTGGATATTCCAGCTGAGAGGTTTGACACCACTCTTTGGTATGATGCAGAAGGTAACAAACCTGGGAAGATACAGACAACCAAAGCAGCTCTAATAGAAGGGTGAGTTTAAAAATGTTTTAACCACTCTTAATAAATGGCAAACTCATTGTTAATTTGTTATTAAGTTGTTAACGAAAAAAATTATTAGTATTCTTATTGATGTTGTTGCTTTTAGTTTGTTGGCAGTCAGTAATTACAATGTAATAAAATTATTAGACTGTTTATTCACAATTAATTGGTTAATTACTAATCATTTGTAAGCTTTGATGAAGTTGTGTATAAATACTGAATCACATATGTAACATTTATGAGTTTACGTTGTAAACTAATGGCTAGTTGGCTTGTAATTTAAAATGTTGTTATGTGTTATGTTTATATTCATATTTACAATGTTCATAATATAATAATTCATAACAAGCATTATAAAGATTATATTATTTTATTCATATATTTTATATATTTTTTATTGTGCTTTGATCTTATATTATTATATTATGTTTAGATGAGATCATAAAGCTGCAGCTTATATTTATGATACATCGTTAAATTGTTAAATGTATCAAATTTATTGATTACAATTTGTAAACCTTAAAGGACAATTATGAAGTTTAACCTGGTGGGTGTAAAACTTTGTCTTTTCTGGATGGGAAACAACTCATGGTTGTCCTTTGAGTTTGTATGACCTGAGTGCCTCCTTGCCTGCTAGTTAACAATTAACACACTTAAAAGCTGCTGTGTGGTGCACAGCCCTCAGAGTAAAGGACAGAAATAGGCTTAATCTAAGCCTTTCAGGACAAAAAAAAAGTGGATACAGTTGAAATTAGTAATGGCCTGTTTTTGACTTGCTTTGTTTTTGGTTTAACACAATGACAAAAATGTTTGGTAAAGGTCAACAAAAACATAATACAGTAACATTAATAAAATTTGTATGCAACAACAACAGCTTTGCATCAGAATGTAAATGGAAGTGTCTGTTGTTAGCTATGACACAATACAGGATTTTTAAAGTATTGTGTATAACACAAACTACTAACAAAGTGACATAAATTACAAATGACCAGTGATTAGTAAACTGTATTATTTCTTTGTTACCTACAATATATAAAAGTTTAATTAAGTTATTTTTTTTCTTTGAGATTTTTGAATTATGATGGATCTACTTATTTTATATTCTAGGTTTAATGAGTTTGATTACAAGTTTTTTGGTATTACTGAATCGGAGGCTGACTTCATGGACCCTCAGCAGAAACTTCTGCTGCAGTGTACCTACAGGGCATTAGAAGATGCAGGAATAGCTATGGAAAGCATCAGTGGAACCAGAACTGGTGTCTACATAGGTACTCTTGCTACCATCTATGATACATTAAAAATCCTAAGCAATTTTAAGAATCCAGCAATTTTAAGTCTGTTTTGATTGTGACTGTGCTGCTGCAGGTCTTATGAACAGGGATTATGAGATGCTCAGAAATAATAGCCCTGGCACAATAACCCACTACAATGGCACTGGGACGGCCATGAGTCTTGCAGCCAACAGGATTTCCTTCACCTTCAATCTGACTGGCCCTTCTTTTGCCATCGACAGCGCCTGCTCATCATCTTTGGTGGCTCTTCATGTAGCCAGCCAGGCTATAAAGCATGGTAATATACTTATGCTTGGCTGCCAAAAAAATCAACTATTGGATGATGTATAAAAATTTAATTATTTAATGACCTTTCTTTCAACCAGGAGACTGTGAAATGGCACTATGTGGAGGAGTTAGCTGTATAATTGAGCCGAAGGTATTTGTTGCCCTCAAACAGGCAAGCATGATCTCACCTGAAGGAACAAGCAAACCTTTTTCCGCCCATGCAGATGGCTATGGCAGGGGAGAGGGCTGTGGTGTAGTACTTCTCAAGCCTTTGAAACATGTAGGTTGATGATTTGATCTTTAGTGTCAAGTAGTTTTATATAATTGAGATACTATCCAGTCTTCTAATGATGTGACTTTCTTTGTCAAGGCTTTAAGAGACTGCAACAAAATATGGGGTGTTATCAGCAAGACAGCAGTCAATCAAGATGGGCACTCCGTCACTCCAATCACCAAACCCTCCATGGTTCAGCAAGAGGAGCTGCTGAGAAGAATCTACTCTAACTCCGACATCATGAACGTTCAATATATAGAGGCACATGGGACAGGAACCCTTGTTGGAGACCCAATAGAAGCGGGAAGCATCTCGAATGTCATTGCTAAACCCACTCGTTCTGAGACACTTCTGATTGGGTCTCTAAAGGGCAACATTGGACACACAGAATCTGCAGCTGGAGTTGCTGGACTCATTAAGGTACTGCTAATGATGAAGCACAGCACTATTGTTCCCTCAGTTTTCTACTCTGAAGATAGTTCAAGTATAGATGTAAAAGCCTTGAATCTGAGTATTCCAACTAAATCTGTTAGGTGGGAGACAAATGGGCCAATGGGAAGGGTGGTTGGGATCAACAGCTTTGGGTTTGGAGGTACAAATGCACATGTAATTGTAAGACAGTATACAAATGCTACAGTTCCCTCTCCAACACCGAAAGACTGTACAAAAGTCTTTGTCATATCTGCAGCGTCTGAGAAATCATTAAGCCTGTCCATCAGTGACACCCATGAAAGACTTTGCAGGAACCAGTCAGTTGATTTGCAGGCACTCTCATACACCTCAGCGTGCAGAAGAAGTCATTACAAACACAAATATAGGAAGGCCTTCCTAATATCTTCTCTCTCGGATTTAGAACACCAGTTAATGTCTGCACTGAAGGCTAAGGTTCAGGCAGTAAGGTCTAACATCCAGGTAGTCTTTGTGTTCTGTGGAAATGGGATTGCCTACAAGGGGATGTGCAGGCAGCTAATGAGTAAGCTTCCTGTTTTCAGTGATAAGGTGAGAGAAATTGAGACTCTCTTCCAGAGTCATGGATCTTTCAGCATGAGTAGATGGCTTTCTAGTGAGCATGATAACAATGATTTCAATGAGCCAAATGTTGTGCAACCTCTTCTATTTGCGATTCAGGTCAGCATTGCTACTCTTTTGAAACACTGGGGTATTAAACCTGATGCTGTGCTTGGTCACTCAGTTGGAGAGGTTGCTGCTGCTCACTGCTCAGGTCTCTTGTCTCTGGACAATGCTGTCAAGGTGTTGTACCACCGTAGTACTCTCCAGGGCAAAGTCAAAGGAGGGAAAATGCTCGTGGTTGGCAATGTGGCTGTAGATAAGGTATTAAAAATTCTTCCAAACTTTACTGGGAAAATTAGTGTAGCTGCTTTTAACAGCCCTCAGTCCTGCACTCTGTCAGGAGATGCTGATGCCATAGACACCCTCCATGAGAGGCTGAAGAGCATCTTTAAAGATGAAACTCTCTTCCTTCATGTCTTAGATGTTCCAGCAGCCTACCATAGCCATATGATGGATCCAGTATTAGAGGACATTAAGAGAAGAATAGATGTTTTAGATACCAACAACATAGAGTGCAAACTGTTTTCAACAGTGACTGGAGACAAATGTTCAGATGGTGATTTCAGCTCAGGCACATACTGGGCCAAGAACATCCGAGAGCCTGTTTTATTTGAACAAACGCTCCGTGCTGCCATCAAAGACAAGTCGACAAGGGGAAATGTGGTCTTTGTGGAGATTGGACCTCGTAGGGCTCTCCACAGGAACATATGTGAGACCCTGGGCAATGATACCGTAGTTCTTCCTACCGCAAACCCTGATAAGGATTATGGCACAATCCTCTCAACAGTGGCAAAGCTATTTGAACTTGGCATGAATGTGGACTGGCATAAGCTATACAGGGGTTTGGAGACATTGCCCACAGCTCTTCCAGTCTATCAGTTTGACAACACAAAGAAAGACCTGAATTT